CCGCAACCCGTTCCTTGTGTACGAGGACCGCAAGTGTGTCCCCCTAAGTGAGATACCGCTCGCCGGCGATGCCGTGTACCAGGGCCTGTTCCGCGAGCACCTGGCTGCGCTGGCGGACGCAGAGGCGAATGCGGCGCAGATAACCGGGCTGGAGGACGCGCTTCGGTCGCGTGCAGATGAGCTGGCGCTGGGTGAATGCGAGAAAGAGTCGCAGCTGACGATGTACTCATTCCTTGGGACCCACAATGTCCCTGGCTGGTCCGACGCGCTACTGCGGGACGTGGAGTTCCAGCAGCTGCGTAACCGTTACGACGAGCTCAGCAAAGACCCTCAGGGGAACGCCAAGGCACTGCGCGAGCTGGAGGATGCAATGGATGCCCGAGGTAGGGCCGTGGCGGAGGCGTTGCGCACTGCTGAGGCGAGTGAGGCCGCAGAGCAGGCGCGGCTGCGAGCCAGGTTTCCGATGTGTTCCGAGGTTCCGGTCACTGTGGAGGCGGATAATGGCTTGCTAAAGCTGTTGCACCGTAGATCTACAATGTTGGGTGACCTCCTGGATGCTTCGAAGTCTATTGCTTCGATTGACAAGAACTTACTTCGTCGTGTTTCTCTGCTGTCATTGTCGGTGGAGGAGAGTGCGATCGAGTTTTGTCAGGAATCCGAAGTCGTGACCTTCGAGGTACGTATGAAACGTAATGTGGGGCGCCATCGCAGGGCACGGAACGTGGCGGCCACGGCGGCGGCGGCATCTGCGGAGACTGGCGGTGAGGGGCAAACCTCGGCGGATAAGGTGGAGGCGGTTGCACAGGAGGGGGCGCTGGGGCGCGTGGAAGATGGCTTGGGCGCCTTCGAGGAGTGCGAAGCGGCGGCGCGCGCGCTGCTGATGCAGGAGGAGCGGGATGCAGCGCACGCCCAGCAACTGCCGTCCTTGGTGGAGCGGGAGGCACTCGCCCGGGACGCCACGGAGAGGGACTACGACGCTGCCCTGGCGACGCTCATGCGTGACAAAGCCGCCGCGGAGGCCTCCATTCTCCGGGAGCAGATGGCGGCCGCCGCCGTCTCAGAGGTTGTTGACGCGGAGTCCAGTGAAAGGGTCCGGCTGCAGCGTGCGGAGGGGGAGGAGAGAGCTGCGCTGCGCGCGGAGGAGCTGCAGCTGGCGGAGGGCCTCTCACGCCAAGTTGTAGAGCGCGACGCGACCCAATTGGCCGATGCAGTGACGCGCGAACACACTGCCACCATGGCAAGGCTTGCTGCCGAAGAGTCTGAAGTAGCAGCAAGACGGCTCCGGGAAGGCCTGTGCGAGGGGGAGTCACAGGAGAGAGAACGCCTGCACCAAGGAGAAAATGAAGAGAGGGAGGCTCTCTACAACCGCGCCCTGGTGGAAAGGGAGTCTATCGTCCTTACGGGTGGGATGAAAGAATTATATGATGCTGAGGCGCACGCGCGAACAGCCATTGAGGCCACCGAAGAGAAGGGGCATGCCCCATTAAGCGTTATGAAACTGATTGGAGAAGAGATGCTCCCACGCCACGAAATCGAAAACGAGGCCGAACAGATACTGATCAGTAATAAAAATGCTTTCGATGAGCAGCGCAAACTTCTGAACAAGCTGCAGGGGATGCTGCAGGCCGTTGAGAGCACTGAGGGGGAGGAGCGCGTCAAGCTCGAGGACGAGGAGGCCAAAGCCCGTGAGCAGGCCATGCTTGAGGCCACGGAGGGCGAGGCTGCCGCGAGGCAACTTCTGTTGGAGAAGCTGCAGGGGATGCTGCAGGCCGTTGAGAGCACTGAGGGGAGAGCGCGTCAAGCTCGAGGACGAGGAGGCCAAAGCCC